TTAATCCCACATATATCTATCATATACCTAATCTACTTAGTTAAAGAAGGACTAATAGCAATTCAGAGTATGAAAGAGATCAAAGAAATCAAGCTTGACACTGCCTGTATTTGTCAGCTTGTGCTACTATAACAAAATATAACAGACTGAATGTCTTAAACAACTGAAATTTATTTCTCACAGTTATCGAGGCTGGAAGTCCAAGATCGAGGTGCCAGCAAATTTGATTTCTGGTGATAGCACTCTCCCTGCCTTGCAAACTTGCTGCCTTCCTGCTGTCTTCATATGGCTCTTCTTTGGTGTGTGGCACAGAGAGAAAGAGATCTTTCTCACTCTCTCTTTCTCTTTCTCTCTCTCCCTTGTCTTATAAGGCTATCAATTCTGATGGATAGGACCCTACTCATGACCTCATATAACCTTGATGTGTACGCAGGAACCTTTCTCATTTGATCATAGGGGTTTTGAATCGGGTTTTTGTCATTTGCAACTAAAACACAAGTGCATAAAATATGTAATGATATAATGACTTAGTTTAGAGTAAGTAGCATTTGTTATGTTAGTAAGTGAAATGTTCACACTATAAAACATAAAATATTTCAACTAAGTTTTTTTAAATGTTTTTTTTTTCCCTTGCTGAAAATAACATTTAGTTTTATCTCAATATTATTTGAACTGGATTGTCAGCCCTCTGTAGGAAAAGTGTCTCCTAGAAAAGTTTCACAGGGCTGAGCATTCCTGAAATCTGCCCTTGATCCCTACTTCCTTCTATTCCTGTCTGAGAGAGAGAGAGAGAGAGAGAGAGAGAGAGAGAGAGAGAGAGAGAGAGAGAGAGGGGGGGGGGGGGGACCTTTAATGATAGAAAGCTGCATGAGCATGATTTGGTCCCTATTTCTGTGCCTTACCTGCCTCTCACTTTAATTCCCCCCCAAAAAAACTGGCAATTATGATTTCCACTTATAATTCCTTTTTCACTTCTTGAGATACTGAAGACTTCCTCTTCTTTAACAGAGATTTGAAGAAGTAGCACATCCACAAACCTTCTCATGACATAAGTTAAATGAGTAAGATCATCCCATAGACTGTACTAGTCCCCCTCATCCTATCCTATATAATAAAAGCCTAATATGCAAATCATACCCTCAACCGGGCAAATTTCATGCACTGGGCCTCTAGTAATTTATAATACATAATTTGCTAGTATATTGTAGTTACACAACAATCTAACCTTTTGTGTTTGTATTGATCAGTATAACCTAGGTTGTTTTACATAGTACACCTCAGAAGCATAATACAAAATGTTTCTTATTCATTCAAAGTATAAGTGGACCAAGGACCTTCCCTTTGTAGCCATGTCATATGAAATTAGTCTGCTGCAGTAGGGAAGAGGGAAAGGGAAGATGTACACCAGCTGGAACTGCCTTGTCCAGGTGTCTGGGGGTCAGGGAACTATATTCCTCCACTCACAATTCATTGGTCAGAACCAGTCACTTGGCCTCAACCTACGTGTAAAGAAGCTGCAAAATACACAGGTGCCCTGGATAAATGGTGAACATATTAGTTCCTGCCACACTGTACTGTGTTTCCTAGGAAAACTTCAGCAATATCTATGATCCTGGATGAAAAAAAAATCTACTGTGGCTTAGGCATAAGAAGTACCCAGCCTGCTCGCCCAGGACTGTCCATGTGTACCTGGTTCTCTCTAGTTTTTGTGAAGCTAAAATGAAAGCCTTTGGTATCTCCAACACAAGAATAGAATGAATTTTTTTTTTTAATCAATGAAGCTAAGACCCAGCCTTATATAACTTATTTTGTCTCCTTTATTTTGCAAAATATTTAAAGCATAAAGCAAAATACATTTTTTTAGACTTTAAAAAGAATAGAAAAATACACATTGCATATTATGGCCACCAACCTCATATGCCTAAAAATGTTCTGCTTCTTGGCCTCCAGTTATTAAACACACTGGTTTAACCCTTGGTCTCCTGTGTAGAGCAGTGCACCATGAAACCATCACCCTCACTTTAGTACAACTGGTGCACACCACTCACATAAAACAGAAGAGTAAGTTACCAAGAAGATAGGGCCAACGCCCCTCTCTAAAATGGCTGAGACTTCCAAGCCATAACAAACACATCCTCAGAAAAACAACAGGCAGTCCTCACAGATACTGGCAGCCCAAATCTGTAAACCATGTTCACATTATCTTTTGATAAAGTAACAAAGCTAAAGATTGCACTAAAAGGTAATCCTGTGGAATCACTGTTTACAAAATAAATCCTTATTTCCATTTTTTAAAAATTTCTTTATTGATTAAGGTAAAACAATATGGAAAGTTTGAATAATTCCTGCCCAAACTTCCTACATACATATTATTAGCTTCATTTTTAATACGGACATCAGAAGGGAAGATAATACCTTGCTACCAAAGCCCAGATGCCAACTAATTACCACAAGAAACTCCAGCCCCGACATCATAGGCCAGGCCTCTGACCACACTCTGTCTTACCCAGTGACCCCACTGTGGTGATTAATAGCTCGAGTGCTAAGCTCTAATGAGTGTGTCAGATCTTAGATGTTCGATAAGCTAATGCAATTAGCATTATGTTGAGTAGGATATTTTAGGCACTTGGTAGAGAGATCCACACTTTACAGTAAATTACATGCCTTTTTACCTCATGGTCTTTGGATTAATTTTAATAATCACCATTCTAAAAGGCCTCTCTATAAATAGAGATCTTTCAAATATTAAAGAAAAAAATAAACACTTCCTGATTCCACCGAATGGAGGATGATTGATAAGATAGCAAGCTCTGTCTGAGTCTCACTGGATGCTACAGGAAGCCTGAATTTCCCAGCAACCGTAGGCCCTGCCTCTAGGTAGGGAGGTATAAGAGTTCCAACCAGTGGAATGTGTACAAAAATGACATTTTTTTTTCCTTCCAGATCTGGCCCCTAAAATAACCCATTGATCTTCCATGCTGTCTGCATTCATCCTCTGTCCAGACGGATGGAGCAGATTTAGGAACACTACAAAGCCTTACATGGTGGCATAGCCACTGGATGAAACACTGCTTGAGAATGCATTGCTTGAGCAAAATAAATTAGTATTGCCTCAAGGCACTGAGACTTTGAGGTTGTTTGCTTAAAACTAATAAAGTCAATTAAGACTTGATTTAATTAAAAAGTTATACAAAATTTTTTCTTGCTTATGAGTTCATCAACTATCTACTCAACATAAAATTATGAATATAAAGGACCAGAATTCTAAATTCAATAGAAATGTTAATTCACTAAAGGAATCTGTCTCAGTTGTATTCAATGTATTTAACATTAGCACATTGTGGAGCTCAGGACAAGATGACTGTGTGTGTTGCTTTAGCAAATCATTATTAAAGAACCCTGGCCCCTAGGATAGAGAAAGAAAACCTGAAGCACAGTATCTACTACTTCTACAGTCATCAGAAATAGCAGTCATAAGCCTTAAAGCAACTTCCAAAGAAGAAACTCAGAAAGTGTTTTAGAAGCAGAATTTTTCAATGACATAGCCAAATAGCATTTTTAAAGATACCTATTGCTACTGGGGGAAAATGCACCAATTTAATATAACCAAAAGGGTATGGGAGACATATACTGAATTAATGTAAAATTGCTAACATACAGAAAAGTGGAACACACACACACACACACACACACACACACACACACACACACACACACAGGATTACTGGGGGATAAAAATTTTACCTTGGTGTACAATAGACAATATACTAAATAATAATTATTATATCACTAAACAAATGACTGGTTGAACAAAGGCCTGAATTAGGTCTGTCATTTTCTTCAGGTAAAGAGGGAGACATGAGAAAGGCAGAATAGCACAGTGATGAAATGTTTGGGGTCTCAATTTCTATCTGCTGTTTGAGTTGGAAAGACTTTCTTTGTTTTCTTTTTATATCCTTAGCTACAGAATGGAGAGAAGTTCATACTTATTGTATAGATTATTAAGAAGATTAGGGATGACACACAGCAAACATTTAGAGAGGTCTTAGCTAAAATTTAATACTAATAAATATTGAATATTTTTACTAATGATATAAGTTCAATCACTATGAGCCACATTATCCTCACCTTAAAAGTAACAAATTGCACTAGATGATTTGTATGAGTACTTTAAGCAGTGTGTTCTGAGTTTATACCTGTCTCTTAAAGTCACATATACCATTAAAAAATGAAAACTCAAATCTAAATATTTTAAGAAATTATTTTAAAAACATCTATAAGACAGTCTGGTCTGCTGTTGAAATTGATGTAAAGAAGATAGTTGGCATACAAGCACCAATTCATTTCTATCTATACATACATAATTTTTAACCTTCAGAAGTGACATGGTACTTTGATTTATTAATTATCCCTCATGAATACCCTCATTTGAATATGAAATGTAACAAGATAATTGTCAGGCAAAGATTTAAATTTTAAAGTGTCATATTTAATGAGTACTACAGAGATAAAGAATTATTTCTATCATGCAAACCTGAATGGGTCCAAAAGGTACATAATTACACCCCATTTTCACAGCTTAAGGTGAAGTACTTCTTTGGCTTATCAACTGTCAACAACTTGAGTTTCCTTCTCATTCAGGAGAAAACATCTCTACTCACTGTAGCAATTGTAAGAGATGACAGAAACTCTGGAGTATATAGACTTTATTCCAAATTAAATGGACCCTTAGAAGGTCCATGATTTAATAAATCTTAGTTTGTACAAAGAAATCCTTATCCAAACAAATATTCTAGGAAGACTTAGAATGATGTAAATAGTTTATGATATTGAAGCAATAAAAATTATTTAAAATTCCCTTCCGATTACCAATTTAGTTGATTTTAAGTCGTTCATATGTAAAAGGGGCTCTAATATACCAAGATGCTATATGTACCACATTGTAGGGTAGACGAATTATTTTCTTAATCCAAAATTATATTTATTCAAAAGAACCTTACCTCCTCCATACATTACCGCCAGCATAATGGAAGATATCCATGCTATTTCACTGTAGCTAGTGCTGAATATTTGCTGAATTTCTTTGAAGAATACTGTGATGGCTTTGGGGAATGCATATGAAAATCCGATGGAGATAAAAGACGCTGCAACCACTACCCAGCCCCATCCTCCATCAGGAGGTGGGTTTGGTGGGTCACCTGCAGATGGTGGCATTTCTGCTCTTCTCTTTGAAAGTCGGGTAACCTATATTCAAATAATGAAATACAGGTTTAAACCCTATGTTAATTTTTACATTTCACTCTTGATCACATTAAAATAGTATTTTCCAGTTACAGCTACAACTATATAATTTTTCATGAATATTATTAATATCCTTGTACTCAGAAATTTTTCAGAAAGGGTACTTGAAAAATAGAATGAGGTATGTAACAACTTTGACTGCTATGTGCTACGACTTGAAAGCATCTAATTATTTTTTTTTTTAAATATATTTTATTGATTTTTCTACAGAGAGGAAGGGAGAGAGATAGAGAGCTAGAAACGTCGATGAGAGAGAAACATTGACCAGTTGCCTCTTGCACACCCCCTACTGGGGATGTGCCCACAACCACGGTACATGCCCTTGACCGGAATCGAACCTGGGACCTTTCAGTCCGCAGACCGACGCTCTACCACTGAGCCAAACCGGCTTCGGCGCATCTAATTTGTTTATGGAAGCAAACATTACTTGAAGAGAAGTTAACATTTCAGATCTTTACTGAAGTACCAACCAAAAAAAAATAAATAAATAAAATAAAAGCAATCTCAATCTGATTTCTAAGTATTAAAAAAATTGAGCTAGCATCACTTAAAACTGAAAAAGAAATTTAATCCAAAATGTTTTGAGTTTTTATATAACCATTTATTAAAAAAATAAATAAATAAATACAGTTACTTAAAAACATTTCAACATAGATCTGTTTTCTAAACCTATCTATATTAATAATGGCCTAGAGCTGTCACGATCTAAACAACCAGACAGATGACCAGTCACTTGTAAGTGCATGGAGCACCTTTTGGTCCCTCTCCCACAGCCCACAGGCTCCTATCACAGCAAGGCTGGAGGCAGGAGGGGGCGAGGACATGGAGGCAGCAGGGTGCGCAGGGCAAGGGCGGGCATCGAGGTCATTATCCTCTAGCCGGGGGCCAGGCCAGAGGTCTAATGACATCACCACTGCCTCGGTGGCTGCAGATCAGGCCCAGAGAGAGGCCCAGGGAGAGAGGCAGAGTCTGATCAGCAGCCCCAGTGAAGGCTGTGGATCAGGCCCAGAGATAGGCCCAAAGAGAGAAACAGCTGTCAGTGGGGCCTTCTGGACTTTTCAGAAGAGCCAAAGGCTGCCAAGAAGGGGAGCATTTTATGCTGTCTGACATAGAAACAGACCAATCTGAACCAAATCTGGGTGAAGTGCGAGGAGCCAATGGCTGCTTTTGACACTGACTGGCATAGAAACTGAAAAATCAGAACCAAATCTAGGTGAAGTGCAAGGTGCCAATGGTGGCCTGAAAGGCCGATCTTTTGATGAGGGCTAGCATAGAGACCGACCAATCAGAACCTACTCTTGGTGAACTGCAAAGGCAAAGCAGGGGTTGAGCGGGGGGGGGGGGGGGGGGGGGGGTTAAGGGCAACAACAGCTTTTGGTGTAAGGTGTAAGAAAGCAGTTCAAGTTTTTAATGACCGGTTTAGTAGTATAGTACATATGACTGGCTATCAGCCCATATATAGGAATTATGTGTTTTTATCTGCCAAGAGTATCTTCTCCTGCTGAAAAAGCTTCCCCACCCCACCCCATCCCCCATTTAAGCAACCATATCCTATATAATCTATCTATATTGCTAAAAGGGTAATATGCTAATTATATGGGTCAACTGGCCATCTTCCACACATCCAACTTCCTTCTGGACAAAACCATGGTGGTGGGGGCTGAGGCTTGAGAGGACAGTTAGGGGCAAGATATGGCCATGCAGGGGAGCAGTTAGGGGTGATCAGGCAGGCAGGCAGAGGCAGTTAGGGGCGATCAGGCAGGCAGACAGAGAGGTTAGGGGTGATCAGGCAGGCAGGCAGGTGAGTGGTTAGGAGCCAGCAGTCCCAGATTGAAAGAGGGAAGTCCGATTGGAAAGGGCTGAGGGAACTGCCTGTGGATAAATTTCATGCACTAGGCCTCTAGAAAGATTATAAATTGTATGGTTCTATTGATCTAAGTTAATTTTAATGCATTTCTAAGTTGAAATTGCATTAAAATTAACTTAGGTCATGTTGAAATTGCAACCATATAATTTCTTATAGGTTTAGAAAAAATTGTGAATGAAACATTTTATATATTTTCTGTAGCAATGATATTTTCTTAGTCAAATCAATGTACTTTATTGTTTGTTAAAAGAAGGATACTGTCTTTTTCGACATGCTGAGGAACATAACTGTTTGCTTTATGGTGCAGAACAACCCACTCTCCTGTGGAAACATTGATCATACACATTTCAAACAATTGATAATAAATTACAAACAACTTTGTCCCCTAATGTTTGTTTGGATTATGCAACTTTAATACTGAATTCACTGATTAGTTCCAATAGTTTTTGGCAAAATCTTCAGGTTTCTATAGAATAAGGTCATGTCATCTGTAAACAGAGACAATTTCACTTCTTCCACTCTGATTTGGATGCCTTTGATATTTTTTTTTCTTATGTAATTGGTCTGAATAGGACTTCCAGTATTTGGTCACAGTTTATTTGCCCTGTTCTATTAATTGATACATGCTGATGACATGAAAAGATTTGAATGTCTTCTGTATATTTACAGTCTGCTTTTGTAATAATGTTTGCTTTCTTGGCAAGAGCCAAAATCTACATATTTAATTTGAATTTTGGTTTACAGCACAGGAGCACTGGATATAATGTATTTTTAAAAGTATAAATACTTAAGAATGAAAGAGAAAAAAGAGACATTGTACATGATTGTTAAATCGGCCTTTGAAAGTTGTCTGAAGAATCTGAATTTATATATTAAGTGAAGTTTGTTACTATATTTTAAAAGTAGTAAATTTCTTATTGCCTAAAAGTATAATTTTTTAAAACATAGAGGAATAGTAAGGAAAATACAAAAGGGCATTTATGTGAACATCTACTTTGTTTTATTACCAGAGTGTAAAAATAATTATGAAATTTAAGGTCCTTATTCTGCAATTTTCTTGCTTGTATAAAGGTAAAAAAATCTTTCATTATTAATTCATGAGTTTAAACTCTTGTAGCTTTTATTACATCTGCTATAGTAGACCCTTAAAAATACAACTGGATGATTTGTTTTTCAGTCATTTCAAAAGTCATAACATTTCTAACTAATTTTAATTCTATATTTTTAGTTAATCATATCAAGTGAATAATACTAAAATTTACTAAGATTCAATTAGGTTATTAATATTAAAATTTACTAATGAGCTAGGTTGATGTTGAGATTTTCATTTTACAGATAAATATCCATGCTCATAGAAGAAGTGAACTCATTGCAGAAACCCCCGAAGTCACAGTTTAATTCCTGGTCAGATCATATGCCTGCGTTGCCAGCTAGATTTCCAGTGAGGAGTGGACAGAAGGCATCCAATCAATAATTCTTTCTCATCATTGTTGTTTCTACCTCTCTTTCCCTCTCTCTTCCTCTCTGAAATCATTAAAAATATATTTAAAAGAAAAAATGAAAGCATTATATGGTTGAGCTGTATTTTTTTTTTTTCCTCTTTGCACAATTTAGCAGTTTATCTTAGTATATGATCTTATAGGTTTTTTTTCCAGGATATTTCCTTAATTTTAATTGTAACCACATACTACAAATTACAAGTCACTATTTTATATACACTTCCTTATCGTCTATCTGTTTTGTTTCTTCCATATAAATTAAAATCTGATGATACCTTAACTGAGTCATTGTGAAGTAAACCCAAGACCAATTAACCCTTGAAAAATTATACTTTCAAGTTTGTCACCTGTTCATATTAACAATTCTTTAGATGACTAATAGTCAAGATCCAAATCATACACAATCATTGGCCTCATTTATTTTCCTATGCACAATTCTATAATATTTCATACAATTTATGGCTTTTATTTGTGGGCGTAATCAAGAAAACAGAGTATAGCTTTACCTGTTGACAGATTCCCACTTGAACAGGCTTCTTTGGTTTATACGTGGACGTGGTAAATCCAGTCACTATTCCTCAAATTGTGGTATTTGAAGGCAATAGAGAGGAAGCGAGGTAGAACAGACTCCGGATAATCTAAAGAAATAGAAAACACAGGTTACATATATAATAGAGTTCTACAAGCCTCATTGGAGCCACTAGCTATCACTCGTTCCAGTACATTGTGACCAAGGTTTAATAATGAGCAAAACTGAATATACACAATTGGGCAAAAGGAGATTTACAGTTGTGAGTATGCAAAACACAAAGTGTATTCATGTATTATTATTTATTAATTTTGTATTATTTTCCATATAACTGTAAATCATTTTTGTCTCACCTTGCATATATCTAGGTTTATATTTCTTTGCCAATACATTAAAAGGACAACTAAAGTATGAACAAAATGTGCATGAACAAAAATATAAAATAAATATTTAGTTTTTAAAACTATAAGCAATAATACAGATTATATATCCACCAGTATGAGAAGGGAACTTATTGGCATTCATTTAGTGTAATTTGTTAAAGAAAATACCCAAAGACAATGAAAGTAGAAAGTTTAAAAGTATTAGACATACTATCAATAATACACGTCTTACAATGAGACAGACAGGGTCATGAGAAAAGTATTTTAGGAATCCTCTGTTTTAGAATTCATACTTCTAATCAAGTCTGGGAGACAGATGAACCTGCTAACCCTCCTTAATATATTAAATACCTTTATTTCATCTTAAATCTGGTGATAACTGTGTAGCAGCTAATATTTAAGACTGTATTTGGTTAGGCCCAAACATTCCCTTGCTTAGATTAACACTAAGAAAAAGTCAACTCTTCCTACTACATACAGTAACCTTTTGCCTGCTTTGCATCCAGGGTCACCTGACCTGAAGTGGTGAGTGAAGCCAACCAGCTGCCAGGTCAGATTAGGTAGGTCTGCGTTCTAGTAGCCAAGTCAATGAGAGACTAACTGAGTAAAATGGCATGTTTTCACCTAAAAGAATT